GCAGATAGAAAGGATGGCTATTGCTTTGAGTTCTTTTTCATATCAGTAACTGAAAATAAAAATCAGCTACTACTAGCTATTAGTAGATAAACTACAACATCATTTTAAAAATGCACAGAAAATGACTATAACAATATATAATCTAAAATGTTAATCCTAGTTCTCTCCTGAGTTCAGATTTTTTCCTTTCATTTTGCTGATTTTTATTTTCTATATTTTTTATAATCTTTCTGTGATAACTCTACAAGAAGAGAAATTTCTAGTCTTAATAATCTACCCATATTTAATTAGACACCCTACAATAAGAGTGCTCAAATTAAGATAAATTATTTGGCAAAAATTATGCTACATGGAACTGTGAATAAAATGCCTACCACAACTTTTATACAGCCAATCTAGCTGGAAGTGGACACTTCTTTTTATGAGACAAAGTATTACTCATGTTAGCCTGGAATTCACAACCCTCTTGCCTCAGCCTCCAAGTAGAAATAATTTATATGTACATAAAATGACTCAAAGAAGGCAACTATGTGAAATGCTTTGGAAGCTTGATCCATCTCTTTTTCCTGAAAGCATAGTGCTCATAATATAAATTATATACGAATCGTTCCAGTAGCAAGCCATCTCCCAAATGCCCACCCAGTAGTTCAGCTATAACCAGTCCCACTATAAAGACATATATAGTACAGGGGCTGGAAAGATGGCTCAGAGGTTAAGAGCACTGGCTGTTCTTGAAGAACACCCAGGTTCAAAACCTAGCAACCACATGATGGCTAACAACCATCCTAACTCCAGTTTCAGGGGATCCAACGCCCTCTTTTCTCCTCCATGGGCACTGCATGACATGCCTGCACTTACATACAAGCAGACATAACATTCATAAAATTAAACACATAAAATCAAAAAAAAACCAAAAAAATCATAAAAAATTCAAAGGAGGGGCTGAAGAGATGGCTCAGCAGTTAAGAGCACTGACTGCTCTTGCAGAGGACCAGGGTTCAATTCCCAGCACCCACATGGTGGCTAGGAACCGTTGTAAACTCCAGTTCCAGGGGAATCCAAAGCCCTCTTCTGACCTCTGCAGCATTGCATGACACGGGTGCACTCACATACATGCAGGCAATACACTCATACACATAAAATAAAAAATAATAAAATATTTTTTTTTTAATTCAAAGGAAAATACTATTTTCTCACCAGTAAATCCTTTCTTTATTCCTGATCTAGGATTCAAGTGCCAGTCAGCTACTTTATCAAGGGCACTTTGCTTTTCTTAGATTATCAATGCTCTGAAAGAGGTTCAGAATCAGCAAGAAAGACTAAAATGCTTTAGTACTAGCACCTCACCTCTCCTCTGGCAGATCACAGGACAGGTTGTTTGGTTTCAGTTGTGTCCACTCTCTGGTATTGAGATCTAACTTGTGCAGGTCTGTGCTGTAGATGTAGCCAGTTGTCCCGCCAAAGACATAAAGGGAACCATTGATGATAGCCATAGCCTTTAAAAGGTAAGAACAGCTGTTAACACTTGCTTACAGAATGTAAACAGTAGATGCCTCCACATTCTCTTCTTTTTAACCCTTTGTCAGACCCTACAGAGATCACTCAGCAGTTTAGAATGCTCCTTGCTCTTCAGAGGACCCGAATTCATTGTCAGCATCCACATCAGGCAGCCCAAAACCACCTGTAATTCACCCAGGAATTCTCTCATGTGCACACACATGGCATACACTTACATAGACACACATACAAACATGTAAATACAAATAAATCCTTTAAAAAAAATTTTTTTAATTATTTTGGTCTTTTTGAGACAAGGTCTCTCTGTAGCCCCAGCTGGCCTGGACTTACTACGTAGACCAGGTTGGCCTTGAACTCTGTGCTTGCCTCTGCCTCCCCGCTGGGATTAAAGGGGTGAGCCACCATGCCCAGCCTAGTACAAATACATCTTTAAAAATAAAATAAGGCAGATCTCTGAGATCCAGGCCAGTCCAGTGTAATAGAGAGTTCCAGGCCAGCTGGGGCTACAGGGAGATCCTAACCCAAAATAAATGAATAAATTAATTTAATTAAAATTAAAAAAGACCACCAGGCATGGTGGCACACGCCTTTAATTCCAGTACTCGGGAGGCAGAGGCAGGCGGATCTGTGAGTTCAAGGCCAGCCTGGTCTACACAGTGAGTTCCAGGACAGCTGGGGCTACAGGGAGATCCTGTCTCAAAAAGACCAAAAAACAAAACAAAACAAAACAAAAAAATTTAAAAAGACCTTGAGCTAGATGTGGTGATGCTTGCTTATAATTCTAGCACTCAGCAGGCTGAGGCAAGAGGAACACAAATCTGAGACCAGGTTTGTAGCTCTATAGTCAGTTTCAGACCAATCTACAGACATTGTCTCAAAAAAAAAAAAAAAAACCCAAACTAAAAAATTACAAAAAATTCAAAAATTTACTTAAAAAGTTAAAAAGGGCCAGAGAGATGACTCAGTAGATAAAAGTGCTAGCTACACAAGCCTAACAACCTGACAACCTGAAATCAATCCCCAGAACCCAAAGTAGAGGACAAAAAAGTTGTCCCTCTGACCTCTATACTGATGAACAATGGGATGTATGCTCACACTCACCTACACCATAGACAGACAGACAGACAGACAGACAGACACACACACACACACACACACACACACACACACAAATTCAAAAAGTTAAACATGAGACCCTAAAGCTGATATATGCCTACAATCCCAACTACTCATGAGGCTGAAGCCTCAGGAGGATCACTTGATCCCAAGAGGTTGAGGTTAGCCTTGGTAGCATGGTGAGACCTTGCTTCTAAATGAATAAATACGTATGTAAACAAATATATCAGGTCCTTAAAGGACTAAATACTGTTAGAAAACCTGGAGGCTATTTTTTAAGACCTTGAGATTGCCCTTAGAAAGGTATCAGATGACTCTTAGAGGTCATAGCCAAAAATGTATGGATCACAGGCAGGAGCATTTCCATTGGAGAATGTGTGGATCACGGGCACAGGCATTTCCACTGAAAGCTGCTTCTCTTTCTCAGCAGTCTAAAGAAAAGCACTCTCAAAGAAGCAGCGGCAGATGTGAAACTAAGCCACCAGAGTCCTATTAAGTATGAAATCCAGAGCTGACAGTCTCAGGCACTTGACATTTTCCATTGGACTCCTCTTCAAGGTAAATTCAACTACTGTCATGGTCACTTCTTAGAGCTAAAGTGGCCCCTTTGGTAGGATGGAGAGTTGTCTAGGATGTACCCCCTTCAAAGTTAAAGCTCAGAAGTGTTTAATCAGTCATGTGTGCCAGCTAGTTCAGACAGAAACCAAAGTGTAGCTATGCCAAGTTTAGCCTCTCCTTTCACGCCTCTGTTGTATAGCAGGTGGCTCTCTATCCTTCTAGATATAACCTTACAAACCAAAGGCTGAAGCACTGTAGCCTACACTAATCTACATATAATCTCTCTCTTTTTTTTTTTTGTCTTTTTGAGACAGGGTCTCCCTGTAGCCCCAGCTGGCCTAGAACTCACTATGTAGACCAGGCTGGCCTTGAACTCACAAAGATCCACCTGCCTCCGCCTCCTAAGTACTAGGATTAAAGGCGTGTGCCACCACGCCCAACTCTAGGACTCTTAATGAGTAGCTACACTTGTGCTTCTTAGGAGAGAAAGCTTTTTATAGAATCCTGTCACCAGACCAAACTCAGACCATACTAGAGTTCAGTCTTTCACTAGAGGTTGGAGTAGTTAAGGAAACTTCCAAGTAGATCTAGCTCCAGACCCTAAATTGGATTAGAAGCATAGAGTGGGGCTAGGGAGATGGCACAATTAGTAAAGTACTTGCTATGCAAGCATGAGGACCTGAGTTCTATCCCAACACCCATGTAAAAAACCTGGACTGGTGATGTGTACTTATAAATTCAGTGCTGGAGTGTGGGGGTGGGGGCCCGAAAAGGCAGATCCTTAGAGCTTGAAGGCCAGGCCATCTAGTGTAATCAGTAAGTCCCAGTGGAAGACCCTGTCTCAAAAAAAAAAAAAAAAAAAAGTGGACAGCTCCTGAAGAACAAACTGATAACAGAGTGTCCTCTGATCTGCACATAGGGACACACACACATACAATTCTAGAAGCCCAAAGAGTGGTGAAAACAGGAGGGAAAATAAGATTTGTAAATTATAGTTTTCCTACCAGAATAGAAAATGAAAAATACTAACCACACCAAATTCAATCACCATTAAAACAATGGTAGCAGTAAGTTCTGACACTGCCTTCAGACTAGAACAATATGAACAAAATACAGTCATCATTAACTGGCCACAAATTGGTACCTGTCCATATATACGACTGGGTTTCTTCCCCCGACAGCTGAGTAAGGCCCATCTCTTATACTTCACATTGCAGACATGAACATCGTTGCCGTTGCTCTCACCAAATGGGATGCCTGTACCTCCAAACACTAACAGGTTGTTTCCATGCAGCACAACTGAGGAAGAAGCAGCACAAAGTCCACTTATGTAACGGCTATCTGCAGGATGCTCCCACATTAAGCCAGACCATCTGAAAAGCTCAAAACTGTCTTCTTTAATGATATTAAGAGAGATCATTCACATCTAATTACAGAATTCTATAGAAAATAGTTTAATTCACACAGTATGAACCATATCAGATAGTTCACTGTTAAGTATGTGATACAGTCAAAATGCATTTGTAGGAGTCATTAAATAAAATAGTATGCACAGCAATGTCAAGTCTATGAACTACAATATACCATTACTGCTCAAGAAAGCTCAAGAACACAGCAAAGCAGAAGACAATGACATATCATCTTTGCCTTGCCAAAGACCAAGTAAGGCTCAGGATGAGGGGATTAAAGGATCATTCTGTATTTGTTAGAGGAATGATCTCTGTATTTTAAACTATGGTTTCTGTCATTTTAATCCTCTACCAGATAAAAAGAAACACCAATATCCTGCAGGCAATTTTGGTATTCTATCTTTATCTTTTCTGTGCCTGTCACAATATATACAACACCCCTTTCCTCTCTCCCTTTCCTCCCTCCTTCTGGAAGTCCCTCTCCCTCTCATTTCAGTAGCCCCCCACTTCTGTAAGTGGCACAATATAGTAGTTAGCAGTCTGAGCTCTAGTACTGGACAGAGTTGGTTTCATTCTAGTGTGACTTCAGGAAAACTAGTTAACTTCCCTAACTTAATCTACACAACCCTATGAGGTAGGAACTCAAATTCTTCTCTTCCTCATTATTCTCTCTCCCCTCTCTTGCCTCTATTCCTTTCCCTCTCTTTCTCTCTCCCTGTGCTAAGATCAAATCCAAGGCTTTGTGCATGCTAGCCAAGCACTCTATTACTAAGCTGAACACTAACCATCGCCATTTTTAGACACGATAAAACAGGTAGAAAATGGTTGTGATTTTCTGGGTTTCGTCTTAGACTGGCCTCAAATTCACTATGTGGTCAGACTGGCCTTAAACTCATGGCAATCCTTCTGTCTCAGCCTCCGAAGTGCTGAGATTTGGAAGTAAACACCACCATGCCTGTTGAGAACAGTTTAGACAACTTGAGGGTTTCTTTTTGTTTAGTTGTGTTTTGTTTGGGGTTTTGATTTTTGTTTTTCAGACAGTCTCCCTGTAGCCCCAGCTGGCCTGGAACTCACTATGTAGATGCTGCTGGCCTGGAGCTCACAGAGATCCACCTGCCTCTGCTGGGATTAAAGGCGTATGCCACCCCCCCAGGTCTTTTGCTGAAGGTTTCTTAAAGAGTGTTGTCACACTAAGATTCAATCCCGGCAATCTAGCTCCAGAACCTGTACTCTTAGCCATTACTCTCAGGGCCTCTCTAAAACTTCAGGTTCTTCTTTTTTTTAAAAAAAAGATTTTTTATTTCATATGTATGAGTGTATTGCATGCATGTATGTGAGTATACCTGTGTCATGTGCAATGCCCACGGAGGTCAGAAGAGGGCATGAGACCCCCTGGAACTGGAGTTATGGATGGTTCTTAGCCACCATGTGGATGCTGGTAATCGAACCCAGGTTCTCTGTAAGAGCAGCCAAAGCTCTTAACCACTGAGCTGTCTCTCCAGACCCAGGGTTCATCTGTATAATGGCAATATAATACCTCTATCACAAGAATGCTATAAGCATTACAGATGAAGCATGTCACTTAATAGCTGTTATCATAGTTATAACTTCATTTGTTCATCTCTGACTACACTTTTCCTAGCACGGATATGTGTGTGTGTATGTATGTGTATATACATATAACTTCATATTGAACCTTCTGAGATATTATTAATCCCATTTTACAGGTAAAGTTAAACCTCATCTGGCAATCAAATGATGTACAATTCGATTAAAACTCAGGAACTAACAGATTCAGAATCACCACAGTAAAATGCCTATCCAATAACAAGATTAATAGTGTAATCATATTACACTATTATAAATTATTAACAAGGAGCAAGTGACATTGAACCTGCCATTTCAGATAGTTCACGAAGTCAAAAGTTCAGAATTGCTGGGACTTACGTGACATAGATGCCAATTCCCGGGGCATGTAGCCATCTGTGCCCATCTGGTGCCATACGCCTGTTGCAAAATGATACCTCCAAAGCTCCCTGAATAGAGGATAATCTTCATTATCTGGCCCTCCTGATTCATCATAGTCTGGGTTATAACCTCCAAACACATACAGATTGGTATTATCTGCCACACAACGATGTCCACTGCGGGCTGGGGGAGGTCTGTGGCCTAAGAAAGAAGAGGACAGTTTCCCACAAGTGGCCCACAGACAAAAAATACAAACAAAATAGGAAACAATCATTTGAACTTTAAAAGGGAACTGGGAAGAATTCCTAATGGCATTTTAAAAAATTTACTTAGGTTATTTTATACATGCACACAGACTACTTAAGATTTTTAGGGAGCTAGTCTCCATATTTATTTCATATAATAATTTTTAAATTTCAAAGACTGAAAAAGATTTTTCCCAGGAGGTAACACAGCATGATAAACTCAAGAAAATGGCTGACAACATGGAATTTTTAAGAAAAAGAGAAAGAAAAGTTTAGTACTAGGACAAATTTTCTTTTTTTAGGGGAGAAAAACACAGGCAAACTAAACTGTAACTATTAGAGAGCTACATAAATATAACCACAAATGTGAATGAGCATGTATAAATAAAAATACACACACACAAAACCCATGATTCTTCCATAATCCATAATATGTAAGCAGACACTTAGGAAACTGGCTCTCATGGGGTCACAGTAAAAGTAAGACTTTCCAATTATTTTCAAAGTTTGAAGACCATATTGTTTAAAATATTACTAAGAAAAGCTACTTCTGAACAAAATTAAAAATAAACTCAAAATGATATTAAAAAAAAAAATCTAAATGTAAGACCTGACCTTTGAAACACTCCAGATACTGGTACAGCAACTTTTCTGGATAGGACCCCAGAAGCACAGAAAACAAAAGCAAAACTTGGAAGATGGAAAGGAGGCTGGTCCACAATTTATAATAAAGAGTTTGGGTTTTTTTTTTTTTTTTCCTTTTGGTGCTAAGAATCAAACCCAACCTTGTGCATGTTGGCAAGAGTTCTATCACTGAGCTATATATCCCTAGAATCTTTCTGAAGTTCAAATTACACCAACTAGCTAGGCCTCATGGCATAGGCCTATAATTTAAACTACTCAAGAGGCTGAGGCAGGAGAACCACAATTTCAATGCCTGCCTGGGCTAAGAGCACATGTTCAAGGCCAGCCTAGGTAACTTAATGAGAGCTGCATCAAAATTAAAAAAAAAAAAAAAAAAAAAAAAAAGGCTGGGGATACAACTCAAGTGAGTAGAGTGCTTGCCTATCATATGCAAGGTACTAGGCTCAATCCCCAACACAATAAATAAATGAATAGTGTGTGTGTGTGCTCACTTGAAATTAAAATACAATATGGGATAAGGGGGATATAGCTGCCTATTAGCTAAAGATGTGTCCACTTTCCTATGTTAGTAATAGATACTAGTATAATATTCATTAGTATTTAGGACAAACATGTCCTATCAATAAATATTTATTATCAAGTTAATAAGGCCTTACATCTTTAAAAAATAAAATTTCCTGCCAGGCATGTAGCACACACCTTTAATCCCAACACCGGGGAGGAAGAGGCAGGCAGGTTTCTGTTAGATCAAGGCTAGCCTGGTCTCCACAGTGAGTTTCAGGCCAGCTAAGGCTACAGGGAGACCCTGTCTTGAAAAACAAATAAATATAAAATAAAATAAAATGTCCATTTTTTAGGGTGCACTTTTGAACAAGAACTGGAAAATTATTCACAAGCTAGAGCAACTACAAAATAAACCAAGTCACTTTGGTCCATGTCAATCCTGATTTTGAGTCACTGACAGTTCCTTAGGGATCAAGGGCCTGGGTCAAGCATTTCAGAGCCTTTTGATGCTAAACTACCTTCTCTTTCTCTCATAAGGGTTAAGTCATCCTCACTGCTTAGAAAGGTCAGAGTCCTTCCTTTGACCTTGGCCTAGCCTACCTGCCCTTGAAGTCTCTAGTGGTAGAAATGCCTCCAAGTCTACCTTATGCAGCCCTTTCAAAGTCCTTCTGGTTCATTAGTATCCTACTCATATGTTAGGTTAACAAGATGAGTGTACTGTAACTACATAATTTTGAGCATGATGCCAGGTAAACTAGAATCATTTGGCAGATGCACTGTGGTTTACCTTAAATGAAGAACTGAGTTTCTTTCTAGCATTCTGGAAACACAGTGTGTGGTGTAGAAGAGTGAGCAAGGGCTCCTGTGATATGTAGGCTCAAATCTAGGCTCTTAGCAATTGCTACCTTGCACAAGCCACTGACTTTCACTGACTCTGTCTCTTCATTCGTATGTGGGGATAGCATTACTTTACCTCACATATTTACTACATTTGTTATGTTTAAGTGTTTACAGGCTTATGTATGTATCCAGGACACTGTGAGCTATCTGAAGGAAAAGAAATGTTATCCGTATTTACCTTTCTATAACCAAGGCAGGGTACACAGAAAACACTAAACAAAGTTGAATAAAATAGTTTGTATTTATTTCTTTACTCATTTTTATCAGTTTGTTTTCCTTCTGCAAAAAGAGTCTAAGTTCCTCAAAGGCAAAGAGTATGTATAACCATTACCCTGTATCACCCATATCACCTAAAACAGCTGGAAAAGCAATAGGTCTAAAAGTTTTGCTGAGTGTAACTTCAGATCAAAGTAAATAGTGGCAGAGACAATCAAAACAATGTCCAACTCAATGGACTTTGATATTAATATGTTAGCTGGGGGTATAGCAAAACAGCAGAGTATATGTTCAGTGTGAGGCCCTGGCTTCAATTCCCAGCACCTAGGGAAAAAGAAGGAATAGAAAGAGGGAGAGAATGACCTGGGGGACAGGTAGGTGTTGGGCTGTGCAATGACCTTTTCAAGGCACAAATGTATCTAAGAATTTACATAAGTTAAAAAGAAATCAGAGTTGCTATGTTGAACACAGGAACTCTAAAATCTCTAGAATGGCCAGGTGTGGTGACACACGCCTTTAATCCCAGTACTCGGGAGGCAGAGGCAGGCGGATCTCTGTGAGTTCAGGGCCAGCCTGGTCTACATAGTGAGTTCAAGACAGCTGGGGCTACAGGGAGACCCTGTCAAATTGACCAAAAAAAAAAAAATCTCTAGAATGTTTTTATTACATCAGATAATTTTTAAAGCTACTTTCGAGTAAAAGTGAAAACACAGTAATATTCTAGCACTTCTAAATGGACACAGAGCAGGGAAAGTGTTCCAAGCTTACTGCCAACTATTTTTGTGACAAACATAATTCACTTAAATATTAAATATTGAGAAGGCAATGAACAAGTCACTTTATATAAAATGTGTTCACTCATTCACTCTAAGTCTAAATATTACTGGACAACAGCTGTCTGTTACTGTGCCAGGTGCTGGGGATAAAGCAGAGGACAATCACTCTCTGTCCTCTGGGGCCCTGCCCTGTCCAGTTCAGTAGTCTTTGGTCACACTTTAAATGTGGCTGGTCCAAATTGAGATGTGTGTTAAGTATAAAACACCCACTGGATTTCAAAGGCTTACTAGCTTTATGTTGATTATGTATTAGAATGATATGAGTTAAATAAAAATATTAACATCATTTGTTTCTTGTTTTTATAATGTGGTTACTACAAATTTTTCAACTTTGTGACTGTTTCAAGTATCATATAGTGCTAGTCTAATTCAACTTCTGCTGATTCCATGATCTACACAAATTAAATGATTGGGTCAAGAGGATCTGGTAAGTGCTTGATAAATATTAAACATCCTGTCAAGGAACCTTTATAGCTGTGAGTACAGATAAAACTCACTCCCTTCTCTCTGTAGTCAGGAACTAAAGATTTCTTTCTCCTAGTCACAGCCCAAGAGGGACTCACACATTAGAAATCCATTTCATTTTTGATAAGTCATGGGAATTTGTTGGGGAAAATGCCACAGAAACCAAGCATTAATTTTCATTACGTGGCACACAGCATAGGTTCCTCAACCTTGACAAAATGAAATAGGGGTTTTAGTCTAAAGTAGCTCTGAATCCTCCACAAAGTCTCTTGACTAAAACTTATTCCTAATAAACTCATCCACAGAATTGGGTTACTTTGCTCCAGAACTCCCATTACAAAATGTAGAAGGGCTGGCAAGATGGCTCAGCCAGTTAAGGCACTTGTTGCCAAGCCTGAAGACCGAAATTCCATTCCTAGAACACACTTGGTGGAAGAGAATCAAATCCTGAAAACTGTCCTCTGATCTATACACACACACACACACACACACACACACACACACACACACACGTTTAAAACAAAAGTAATAAAAAAGGAAAATGTAGAAGTAAAAAATGAAAACAGGACCTATATGCAGAGGTAGAAGCGACAAACAGCTACAGGACTGTGTTGTCTGGGCCTTCTTCTCTTCCAGATCTAGCACTTGGTCCTAATTTTTAGCAGAATACAACTAGCTGAGATTACATTGTTCCCAAAATTCTCATTGTTATAAGCCAATAAAGATTCCTCTACATATTCATATGCAAATGTATGGATATGTCTAAAAATAGAACTTCTGGGTCAAAGGAATACACATCTTAAGTGTTCACAGATGATGTTGTGGAGCCATATCACTTCCCCAAATACTAGACTAGACTAATTTATACTCCCAGATATGTGCATGAAAGTGCCTTTTTTGGGGCTGGAGAAATGGCTCAGCGGTTAAGAACACTGGTTGTTCTTGCAGAAGACCCAGGTTCAAATCCCAGCACCCACATGGCAGCTAACAACTGTCCATAACTCCAGTCCCAGGGGGATCCGACAGCCTCCTCTGACCTCCAAGGGCATTGCACAACATGGGTGCACTTACCTACACGCAGGCAATACACAAATGCCCATAAAATAAAAACAATAATTTTTTTTTTTTACAAAAAGTTAAAAAAAAAAAAGTGCCTTTTTCTTTCTTTCCTTGAGATAGGGTTTCATGCAGCCCAGGATTACCTAAAGTTTTCTATATAGCCAAGGATGACCTTGAGCTCCTCATCCTCCTGTCTCTACCTCCAGAGTGCTGAGATTACAGACATGTTTCACTACACCCAATGCAGTGCTGGCGATGAAACCCAGGGCATTACACATGCTAGGCAAGTACTCTACCAACTGAGCTATATCCCCTATCTAGTCCTATCTGT